TCAGTACAGGTCGACTCGGTACCTGTCTCGATATCGCCACTCGGAGGCTCACAGCAACCCACCACGGACACAAGACCGCTCAATTGGGCCGACGATGTTGATAAAGTTCTTAGTACCCAGCCCGCCCCGGCCATTCCAGTCGTATCACGATCGCGCGATCTTTCGGCACTGCGCCCGGCTCACAACTCGAAGCCATTTGGCTCCCTACAGCAACGCAGCCGTCGCGCTCGTCACGGATCGGCTACTATTCGAGGACAAGCTTCACGTCCTAGTCGCGCGGACATCGGTTCCTGGCGTTCCACTTCAAATCGGCTCCCATTTATACATTCATATCGCGGTCATCATACATATCGTTTCCCCCGCACAAATCGCTCGTTGCCCGGTCGCTCGCTATTGACATCGGAGTCGACCCTTGATTGGGAGGGAGACCCTCGGTTGGCAGAGCTTGGTCGTGTGCTCACATCGTTGGGTTGGGTTCGCAGCTCTTGACGGTGTTTTCTTTCATTATTCGGTTCTCTTAGGGCGACGAGGACGTCGCCATTTTGGGTGGGGGGCACATGGAGTAGGGGTGCCTGGGAGTGCGAGGCAGGAGGCGAGGAGGCAGGAGGAGCACGGCATTCGCCGGCTTAGTCAGCGGTTCGGCTCGGTTAGCACGTCGCATGTAGTAGAGTAGCTCTTATCCGACCACCACCGAGGCAAGCATCGCGCCTTCGGTCTGCTAGTCCTAGCCGCCCGGCCCTCTCCACCGGCGCGCCTTCGCGTGTACCGGGAGGGGAGACGCGCATAACCGGACTATCTCCGCAGTGGTCTGCCAGCACGATATGTCAATAAACTCTTATGACATCTGCACAACCGGAGAGTGCAAGCACGTACCAGGATAGAACGCGATAAACTCGGGCAGACGCTCCTGATGAAACTTCGACCACCGTCCACAATTATGTATCTGCCCTCTAATCTGCTTATGGAAGATGACATGGTCCACGACCTCGAAGTAATGACGCTTGTCGGACAAGCCGAATAGGAATCGTAGCAGGGTATGCAAAAGGGCGAAGGTGTAGTTGGAAGGCACCTCAACGATGCGGAAGCACTGTCGCCGACGCTGGAGTTTAATGTAGAGAGTGATGTATTCCGTTGTGGGTGGAGGTAGGGTGGTATAAGGGTTTGGCGCCGCGTTGCGCTCGGGAGAGGGCCGGCGAGGGCCTTGGGTATGCTTCCGGGATGAGCCAGCCTCATTAGAGCGAGGGCGGTCAGACATTATTACGAGAATCAAAGCGATTCTAAAGGACATAAGAAAAATATTGAGGGCCCAAGACGGAACAGACTCACATCCAAAATATTGAGTATAGATGTTTCGAACGAGGGACGATTAGTCAATTTGCTGATACGATGCTCTCCGTGTATCAAGGAGTGCACAGGCGGTCTAGGTGTAAGAACTGCCCAGGAAAAGCGGCAGCGATGCGGAGAATTAGGCTGAAGTAACGAAGTTGGCAAGAGCCATGGAGGGTCGACTCAAGCGGTCGCGTCGCGACGACACCGCCGCGCGCAGTACGGCCCGATATCCGACGCACATATCTCGTGATCGCGTTTGGCTACTTACGCAGCCATACACCCACAGACTCCCAAACCTGCACCACGTTACCTAGCTTGGCTAGTTACCTAGCTTGGCTAGGTTTCCCACTTTCGAAATCCGGCGCAGGAACCGACCAACCGGTGATTGCCGGAGACGCGCTGATGCGATCAGTTGCGTTGCATTGCCCGGTTCTCAACCTTTTTTAACCCAAGCCACGCAGTCCTGCACGGCCTTGCTTTAGTTGGCAGAAAGATCAGTCAAGGATACTATCTCGAATTGCCATATGAGACTCAACCAGGAGCAAGGGCGGGCTGGAGCGACAACGTCGCTCGAATCAGCCGCGCCGGCCGAAGGCCGTGGCCCAGCGTGGCCCCTGGCCGGCCACAATTGCTTTCGACTTCGAAACAGAGGCTCTTATACACTGTAAAGCATGTAGCGCTAGTGGTATACTCACTCTGCACGAGATGCTGAGATTACAGCTTGAAAGCCTACTCTTTCCAAGCTAGGTTCCAGCTGCAAAATGCAGCGCTTCTAGTTCGTAGGCTGCTTGATAATCGTGAACGCGCATACTGTCTTATTTCGACCTGAAGTTCGTAACGCGTAACGCGGACTTCGGGATTGAACTCACTGCAGGTTCAGTAACGGGTAACGGCCGCTCTTCGAACTTGCGAACGTTACCCGGTGTTCGGGCCGACCAGTCCGGAAGGCCGAACCGAGGTTCATGCCGGTCAAATAAGTTCGTTGTAACGCTCGGCGACGCGAAACGAACCTATTTCTAGCCGAACTTAATGGCTGTAACGGGTAACGCTCCAAAGGAGCGAACTTGAGATCGAAATAAGACAGTACTCAAGTATCAGAAGAGAGCAAGGGTATCATGAGTTGTGTTCAGGTACTGTCCGATACTATATTTACTAGAGAAAAGAGCGAAGCAAGTGTCCGAATTCAGATGCTATTGTAGAGTACAGAACTGCGGGGCGTTATTAGTAGTACAGCTATCAAGAATGTCCGATATGTTGACGATGCAGGCAATAAGCATAGTAAAGGAACGGGAGGATGGTGTGTGGACTCGAACGATCTCATTATGAGGTGAGGGCCTAATCGTAGATGGGGAGGGGCAGCAGCCGGTCGGCGTTGAACAAGAAATTATTTGCGACGTCCTCGCCCTCAAGGAATCGCGTAGGGTATATCACTGCGCGCACTTGTAAGTTGACCCTGCAGAAAAGACAGTACTCGGCCAGGACGTACCAAGATGGCCACATAATTCGCCAAGCAGCGCCTCCATCTCCTCGCGCTCCTGCTTCGTGAACCCAGGTTCACCACTATCGCCCTTACCCTTCTTCGACTTCTGGGTACCTCCACCATTCAGATCCTTCGCGTTTTGTACAGGGTTGGCGGTTCCGTGGGCCCGGTCGCCATCGTCTGCAGAATGCGGGTCCGCATCGTTCTTCGCAAAGTCCTCCGCACGCCCCATATGGTCCGGCGTGTCTTCCTCGCCCGGCGCGCCCATATCCCCAGTCTCAGATGGTACGCGTCCAACCGGTTCAGGGTGATCGGGAGTAGGCTTGTTCATGCGTTCGTGGTGACCGACGAACTCGATGTACTGCTTCCACGTCGTGACAAGGTCATCAGGAACGGCGTGGAACACCTTGCGGAAGATCTCCGTATTATGTGCGGCGGCGGCGATCCAGACGTGCTTGTAGAAATCATCAGAAAGAGGGTCGTCGAACATCTCGGCAGTGATCTCCGGTCGCGGCGTAGGCAGTACGAATGCGCTCCCGCTGGTGCCAGCCTTGAGGTGCTTGCGCAGAATGCTGCGAGCACGGGGCGCATCCCGCTCCTCGCCCTGAGCGTCGGTGGTACCCGAGCGCGCATGTGGTGGCTCATCGTCAGTCGCGACATCGCGACTCGCGTCCGCGGGGGCACCGTGCTTCTGTCCGTCCTCCGTCGTGGCCTCCGGCGGCGCCTGGCCCGACTTCTCCTCCTCCTTGGCACCCTCGTCATCTCGCGTTGGCTGGCGTCCACGGGAGTTCTTGCCAGGTAATCCCTCGATGATCGCCTGCTCTTCAACCGTCGGTACAACAGAGTCTGCGAAGCCTTCGACTTCCTTGCCACTGCGGTCGTAGGTTTTGCGCTCATCGCCAAGCGCGATGTTCGCGTTGTTCAACGTGGGAACGTCGCGCTTGAGGCCGACATCCTGACCAAGACGTACAAATGCCTCGTCCGCAAGGTCCTTGGTGCCCTGCGCTGCGCCACCCAAAGTATCGCCGGCGAACTGCGCCATGAGGCGCACACGACCAGAGTGATCAGCATGAGCAGTGACATCCTCATTGCCCTGTCGTTGCTCGGCATCCGGGTCCCAGGGATCGACTTCGTGCTGCTCCTTCTCCGGCTTCCGTGCCAGCAGGTCCTCTTCGTCGAGCGCATCAACATCGATACCAACGTGCTCCCGCATGAGACGCATGCGCAGCGTGTGCGCGAAGCGGCCGACTTTGAACGGCTGCCCCGCCATCGTACTGTCCACCATGTCTGTATCGCGAATGATAGCCGCCAGCTCGCTGTCTCGGTCGCCGCGTTGGGAGCGCTCGTTGATGTTCGCACTGCCAATGATGGCCAGGCGGTCATCGACGATGCAGACTTTGCCGTGAATATAGACCTGCTCGGTCGTGAGGACATCCCCGCGAAGCTTGCCCCAGTTGCGCAGGGAAAAGATTGAGAAGTATTCATCAGGCTGTGGAGCATGTTAGTTCCTCGACTGGCATACGTACACGAGAGAACGTACGTCGATGCCCTCCTTGCGCAGACGAGAGAATATGGAGTGCGGGCCACGGCCAATGGTTCGATTCTGGCACTCGAGGATCAACCGTACAGATGACGCGTCACTGTGATCGAGCGGGAAGGGGTAACCGGGCAGGAGCGGGATAACAACGCAGCACCTCCACTTTGTACCCTCGTGGTGCGCACGAATGATACGATGGACAATTGCATCACCAATCTTATTCTCGATTTGTACATCGCCAACCATCGTCCTGAGACATCGCATCAGTAACATTCGCAATCAATGAAAGCGCTACAGAAACGCACGAAGTAATGAAGAACTGATTCTCGATGTAGACGAAGTGCTCCGACATCTGAATCGCCTTCAGGTACGCGTTCTGGATCGAGTGCTCGATACGGTCCGGCGTGCCCATACTCCACGGGCCACAACTCCTGCAAATTTGCAATTCGCATGTTCCCGTCAAACCGAGGTTCTCGAGTTCGCCGCTCTTGTACTCCGCAGGCGGCAAAAGGAAGGGCATCTCGCGCGTGTGGTTCTTCATCCGCAGAAGGTAGTTCCACCGCTGAACGAAGTGACGTGCAAGGTCGCGTACGGGCTGACCGAGTATTTGAAGACCTGTGTCGTGCCATGGCATACGCGGCGTCGTCTTGCGGTCGTGCATATCCTCGAAGGGCTTGTTTAGAGTGTGGAAGTCCTCAACGCGGTTATTGTTGTAGTCCTTTCCAGGCCAGATGACCGCTTCGGGCTCGTCTGGGTCATCGACGAGCGAATGTTGCGGCGTATCCCACCGACCAAAGCAAAGATCGAAACCGCCCATGAACGCAATGGTCTCGTCGATTACGCACAGCTTCTCATGGTGACTCCAGTAGAACGTCCCAGTCTGGAAATGGCTCGGGCTACGCTGAACCATGATATTCTCGTGCAAGTTCGTCAAGCGCGTCTTGGCGTAGTTGCTGTCCACGGGTGTGGTCCGCGAAGAGACCTCCTGATAGATGATGATGTGGATTTTGACGCCTTCGCGCGCCTTCTTCTGGAGGAGGTTATCGAGCTGGTATTTAGGCTTGTTCGGGCGGCGAAGCTGTAGCTCTATAGAATCATATCAGCAATGGTTGGCGACATCGTCTCACGAAAACTGACCCGGAGAAAGCCACCAATCGTGAATGTAGATCGTCTCCTTCGCCAACAGAATTGCCCTTGACAGGTTCCAGTAGTAGTCCCTTCCATCGACCAGCCATTGTGCCGCAACATTTAGCCTGATGGGAGCGAAGCTGTCGAACCGATTCGTGCCGGTATAGTGGCTCGTGGCAGCGACCTTCTCGAGAGCCGCAATCCATTGCAGCATCTGCCTCTCTGAGCGGGCGAAGAGCTTGAGCCGCATTTGCGAGTTGACAACGTAGAACGTGTGCTTCGACATCTCGCTGCTCGTACGCGATTTCTTCTTCTTCTTGCCGTCCATACCCGCTGGTGCGCGCTGGTCGCCGTCCTCCGCGATAGGGTTCGTGTTTGTGCTCGGATCGAGCATGGGCGTAGGCGGGCGGCTGTCGGAGGAGGACGAGGACGAAGAAGATGAGGAGCTAGAGCTAGAGGTGCGAGCAGAGGATGGGCGAGGATGGGCGTCGCCATTGGTGTGCCCGGTGTCGTGTGAGCGCCGGGGGTGTACGGCCTTGGAGAACGAATGCCGGATTGAGCTGAACATGCTCGAGCGCTCGTGATGGTCGTCTGGTGGCATGAGATTCTTGCGCTCAGCGGCGTCTTCGCGAAGCATCTCGCCCTGTAGGAGGTTGAGACCTTGTCGATAGTAGCGCGTGGGGCGCTCGATCCGGAACTCAGTGTCAAGCAAGAAGACGTCGAAGATCGTTAGCTATTGGTGCACAGATTAGCCTTACGCCTTGGGTGATACAGTAATGACTGACCTCGCCCGGGTCGTCGACCGCTACGAGATAACTCTCGCGGACTGAGCACCACTTCTGCTCCAGCTTATCCTTCCGCCCAGTACCACGACGGCCGAAAGAGGGCCCGCGAGTACCGGAAGATTTGATGCGAACGAAACCAGCCTTATATTGAGCACCACCAGTAGGCGCCAGGTGTATTGAGAGGGCGCTAATCTCCAGGAAACCGCACAACCGATTCGCAGCGGGATGGAACATCTGCGTCATGATCAGTATCACACTAGGCAATGTACTGCTATAGGCGTACCACAGCGCGAATGAGTCCCACGAGATAGTTCTCAAGCGTCTCACGCTGCATACGGGCAAAATCGGCGCGAGCGACCTGCTTATTGCCGTCCTTCTTGTTGCCATCCTTCTTGTTCTCCTTTTGCAAGAACTTGAAGTACGGCAGACCTATTATGGTGTAGTTAGTCTTCAATGTATGACGCTAGTGAGACGGATTACGAACTGGTCTTCGGAAATTCGGGCATGGCCTCAACGTTGCGGTTATATGCGTTTGACACAGTATAATGTGCATGCAACGACAGGAAGTCACGCAGTTGGCGATAGATGACCCAGCGCACGGCGCCGTTCGCGTACTCGCACTCGATACGAAACACGCTTTGAGCGCCATGCAGAGGGTGTAGGCTGTCCGAGATGCGTATCCTCAGTCGATGGAGTAGCACGGGCACACGACGCTTGCCACGCTCGTCGCGTTCGAACCATAGACGGAGCATGAGAACGCTAAGGCCGCTGGCCATAAGCTCGTCGGTGATGTTGACGTGCACTGGGTTGACGGCACTTGCTCCAGGGGACGGGCCTTGTTGAGCGATGTGTGGTAGCAAGAAGCGTAGCCTGTTCCACTTCGCATGCACGTCCTTGCTTGTGCCGCCACCCTGGCGCTGCTGTTGCTTCTCTTGTTCATCTTCAGAGTCGCGCCCTTCTTCATCGTCCTTCATATGCGGCATAGAGCGCGCCCTGCGGAGAGTTCCCCAAAAGGAACCCTGGCGCGGAGAAGTGACACCAGAGGACGGCATCTCTGAGCCACGGCGCACAGGGTTTGCCGACTGAGCGGATTGACGAGCGCCGTCCGTCTGTATCTCTTCAATCTCGGCGTTGGTTTCCTCCTCAACGCGGTTCTCCTTGCCGGCTGCGGCGCTGGGTCCCTGCTTGGCGCGCGGACTGTCTGAGAAGTTGAATTCCTTCTTCTCCTCAGTTGGCGATCCGCGCGGCGTTTGGGAGCGTGATTCGGGCAGCCAGCGCTTGACGTCCCAAAGACTGGAGCTGTTTCGCTTGTTTCGGCGCTCGATGGCTGCCTCGCGCTCGCGTTCGCGCTGTTCGGGGTCGTTGTAGTTGATGGCGTCGCGGTAGCGCTCGGACTTCTCGTGCGCAGTCCAGTCCCAAGTCTCGGGCCGATCCTCGCTTTCTGCCTCAGATATATGACTCTGCGCATGCTCAAGCGAAGCGAAGCGTGTAGTCGGTCGGAAGTTAAAATACGACAGAGAGCGCGGCGGGCCAGACGGAGTGAGCATGCCGGGGCTCGGCCCAGAGAGCGAGTTACGCGCGCTCTGCGAACGCGGTACAGGCGAGTCCAGCGACGACTGGCGCGTAGGGTGCGGTAATGAAGACTGGCGCTGAGGCGGATGAGATAGTTTGCCTTTCTTTCTCTCTTTCTCCTGGTCTGAAGCCTGCTGCACCAGCACAGGAGGTGCGCCGTCGCCTTGTTTCTCCTCAGGCGAACCAGATCCGGCGTGACCGTTCGGCTCGCCACCGTGGCCGTTGGCCGGCTGCTGGGCGTGCCGAACGACGTCGGCCAGAGTGGTCATGATGGTAAGAAGAAAAGAGTGAGATGACGAGCCGGGCTCTGAGCCTGGCCGCCTTGAGACTTGAGTGTACTGAACAGAGGTGTTTGACGTGACGTCGGTGCTATTCAGGAACTAAACAAACCCCGCGTCGCGATCCAACCGAGCCGTTGTGGCACTCGCTTCTCAGTCTACGAGAGGCTCTCTGCGCCATCTTACCGCGAACAGCTGAGCGACTCCATACATACATAGTATAGGGCGTTAGAAGACACGAGTCGACTGTCAGAGACTCCTGCACTGAACAAAACCCTCTACGATTCACGTCTTGGCCGGGTGGTCATACTCCACGTGCCAAGACGAACTCTGCGAGGCACACCAGGGCACACCGCGTTCACCTTGCTCTTGCCTATCACCATGTCTAACGTGCCCATACGCCTTCTACGGAGTCAGAGTTCAGACAAACTGCAACGACGATAGGCCGTGGGTAACCTGTCCTACCGCCTATGCATCATTTTGCAACACGCGCGTGAGGCCACAAGGCCATCATTGGCCTCTCTTGACAGGTACTGCATCGATAGCGAGACTGGCTGCCTCGGCTATCCTCCCGGAAAACACAAGACCAGTTTACCAGTTAACTATGTTCGCATCATTCGACATCGAGTTGAACAAGCGTAGCAAGCACATGCAACGACGTTCTGTAATCGTCTAGATGTTCACGAGACGCGGGCACGACGTCGACATCGCATGTTCTCAGCTTCCTTCCGCTCCCCTCACGCGCACTTGCATCGTCCCTTCAGGCGACTGCTCTAAGGTATCCCATTGCATCATCTTGGCCGCTGCGTTGGAACAATTCGGGTCGAGTACCGAACGCAGTTGGGCCCGCTAATTCCGAGCCTGCGCTGGATGTGTATTCCCCTTTTGCTTCGTCAGAGACTTCGGCGTTCCTTTTGGGATGGCACCGTACGCAGAAACGCTGGGAGCTCGTGAAGGATATTCTTCGCGCTCGCCTCTTCAATCCGGAGAGAACGTCTAAAAGCCGGATTCTATGATTGTCCATCAAGGCCTCAGCCAGATCCCATGAGTTGCCACGGATCACTGGGACGCATGGTACACCGACGTAACCTGCAAGTCAGCATGCGCTCGCCGTTCACCGAGCCCTGGCAGTTCTGTATAAAGTCTGAACGCACAAGACCGGCGTCTACCAGCACCCAGCGCTACTGCTATCCTTGGTTCTACATCCAACTGGGCGAGCAATCATGCGCTTCACTCTCACGATCGTATCGGTCGTCGCGCTCGCGGCTCGGTCCGCTTTGGCCAAAGCCGTGTTTGCCCACTTCATGGTGAGCTCAATGCCCCATTCCTCGGTGTAATTTTACTCAATCTCCCTTTCAGGTGGCAAACACGGACTCATTCAACGAGGCCCAGTGGAGAACTGAGATCTCGGCCGCAAAGGCCATTGGCATCCAGGGTTTCAGTAAGTCTAGTTCAATGCGTTATAAGAGCCCGTCAACCAACTTCATGTTAGTTCTCAATACGGCTGGCAACTCTTACGAGCCCAACCAGATCAGTACGGCCTATAGCGTGGCCGAGTCACTGGGTGGATTCTCCTTCGCGTACTCCTTTGACTTCTCTCACCCGTGGAGCGTCGATGAGATCGTTTCGTACGTCTCGGCACATGCATCGAGCTCCGCGACGTACAAGTGGAACAATGCTGTTCTCGTATCGTCGTTCAGTGGCGAGAGCAGTGGCAACTCTTTCTGGTCGAGCGTCAAGAGCCAGCTGAGCGCCGATGCTATCACCATCTCGCTTGCCCCGGCTTTCATCAGCTACCGCGACCCGGGACAGGCCCAGACCCTGCTCAACAACTTCCCGAGCATCGATGGCTTCACCAACTGGTGGTCATGGCCAGCGGACAATGGCAACCTACTTACAACGGATACCGACCTTGCTTACCAGAAGGCGGTCAAGTCGTCGCGCACGGGCCCGTTCATCATGGGTGAGTGCCCTTCTCTCTTCCGACATATCCTCAGACTGACGAATCCGCAGCTGTCTCTCCTTGGCAGTTCAAGAACCTTGGCAGCTCTGGCGGGGACACCGGTAACGATTGGGTCGAGCTGAGCGACACCTTGATCAAGTACCGCTGGGAACAGGCTATCAACGATGTGCAGCCGGATATTGTCGAGTGCGCTTGCCCTTTCTTCGCATCCCTACAGGCTTCTCACCCTCCTATGTCAGGATCGTCACCTGGAATGACTACGCTGAGAGCCACTACATCGGCGCTCTTAACTCAAATGTTTACATGGACGCCGACGCTCATGCTTACGTCGACGGCGCTGACCACACCCCTTGGCAAATCATCATGAAGTACTACATCTCGTGGTACCTCAACGGCGCCGCACCTGCTGTCACGGTTCGTACTGTACTGTACTGCCTTCCCTTTGAGCACACACTCATCCCAAGTTCTTCATCTCAACAGAAGGATCAAGTCGTGGTTTGGTACCGCCTCCACCCCAAGGGTGCCACCTGCAGCACGGGCACTCTCCCCCGCAACGCTCAATACCCCGCCGACGCTGTATTCGGCTTTGCTCTTCTCACGAGCGCCGCCACCGTGACCATGGACATCGGCTCGAACAACCACGCAGAGTGGAACGCTCCGGCGGGTGTCAGCATCGGTTCAGTGCCTTTCCCTACAGACGACAACCAGATTCCATACATCCAAATTGAGCGCAACGGCGCTGTTGTGGAGAGCGGGTATGGGAGCGCAACTTGGAGCAAGAGCTGCCAGACCTACAACTTCAACCCCTTCGTCGGTGTTATCCCGAACTAAGGAAGTTTCCTCATGTCTGTATAGTCTTACTGGGATGTCTGTAATAGCCACTTGTTGTATCTTTGCCTGCTTGATCTTCGTGTGCGACCAACGTCTAACTGGCTTTACCGCACAGCGCGGCAGCTTCTCTTCCTGCCTTCCTGCCGAACACGGCCCCGGCCGTCAAGCCACTTCCTCCCGGGTAATTTCCGTACCACAGCCCGCCTACCATCTCCCCAGTCGCGAACAACCCCTTGATCTTGTTCCCGTCCTCCTTCACGACACTCGCGGTCTCTGGGTCGATCTTGACACCGCCGAATGTAAACGTGATACCGCACGCGACCTTGATCGCGAGGTAGGGCGGTCGGTCGAGGGGCAGGGCCCAGTTGGATTTGGGCAGCGGCAAGTTGTTACCAGTGGACAGACCGTCTTTGATCGCCGGGTCCCATGCGGTGAGATCAGTTTGCGCGGCAGCTATATGAGCGTTATATGTCCGGATCGTCCGAAGAAACTCGGTACGATCCTCGAGGCCCTCATCGAGTAGCTTTGTGGCGAGCTCTTCGTGGCTGTCAGCCCACACCTTCTGCACCACATCATCGCCATACTCCTCTTCCCTAAGCCACTTCACGACGCGCTGGTCGTAGATCTGGAATGCGTAACCGCCCGGTTGTTCCAAGATAGCGCGCCCGAATGCCGCATAGGTGTAGTTGCGGAAGTCTTTGCCTTCGTCGACGAAGCGCTCTCCGCGGGCATTGATCATCAGGCCCAGAGGATAACCGCTTTTGGTGTACTGGTTACTGAGCACGCGATTCCCCGTATCCCGTGCGGCGTGCGCGTCCCAACAGGTACTGTGGCACCCTTCCCAGTCGCCCGCGAGTGCGGCACCTGCGCGTCGTGCGAGTTCAATACCATCCCCAGTGTTGTAGGGAGTTCCGCGAACCTGGGGCGGCATTTAGCGTAGAAGGGCATTATGCAGGAGAGGACGCACTCGGGCTTCTGACCAGCCTTGACCTAGATACTCTTCCCGCTTCTTCGCGCTCGCCTCATATCCACCCGCGGCCAGTATCACCGCTTTCGCGCGGAGGCACTGCTGCTTGCCCTCCTTCTCGATCAGGACGCTGCGCACGCCGCCATCCTCAATTACAAGATCGACAGCAGGTGCTTCAAACCAGCTGACGACACCGGCTCTGTCCAATGCCGCGCGGTCACTGGCAATGAGCCCTTTGCCACCGTCTTGGGTCGCAAGCGCCATGCCTCCCCAGAACCGCTGCACTCCGTCGATCTCGTAGGCTTGCCGATTGAACGACAGCACAAAGTCGACACCGACTTTCTCCTTCAGCCATTCCACCGCTTCCCAGCTATGATCAACCACCTCCTTCACCAACGCCTTGTCATTTCGTCCAGAGCCCATGCGCATGATATCCGCCGTGAAGTCCTCCGTCGTGTACGGCGGCACATCGATCTTCGGCGCCTTTTCCGCGGGCACGTTCGAGACAAGAGGGAGAAGCGCCTGAAGACCACCGTGCACGGTGCGATGCGCGCCTGCGGTAAAGTAGCCATTACCTCCTGCCCATTCAGCGGGGCACTTGTCGACGATGAGGACCCGCCCGGCGGTAACACCGAATTCAACGGCGGCGAGCGCCGCGCATGAACCAGCATGACCAGAGCCCACGACGATCACGTCCCAGTCTTCACTCGTAGTAGACGACATGATGAGGAGAAGCCGATGATATCTCTGAGATGATGAGGGACTCTTTATCAAGGACCTGTCAAGTCGCAATCGAGTCGGTGCGACTCCGAACCAGTCATGAGGACAGCGAGCGGAAGAGTCTTCACGCGTAGAAAGGCGAACAATCGAGGGAATGATATCCAGCAATATACAGAGCAGTATATGGTCCGTTCGATGCGAATACTCCCGATCGAGTGTGCTAGTATCAGCTCAACATCCCGTAGGAGGTCAACGTTCAACGAAGAGGTGAAGCCGAGGTGAACAAAGCGCGTTGATGGCACCAATCCGGCGGGCCGATACCTCCGATGCCACGCTTCCTTCGGAAGTCAGCTTAATAGTCCCGGGCATTTTCTGCGTGTATTCGTTCCAGGGCTCGTCTATGGTTCACAGAGCGTACTGATGCAAATGCTTACGGTCGGTGATGGGCGTCTGAATCTCGAAGTCGGCTTGTTTCACGGTGTGATTGAATGACAGGAGACCAGCTGACTCAGCCAAGGGGTCATAGACTATAGAAAGGCGTATGGGATGTAAATCGCAGTTCTTGATATATCGAGATCCAGGATGTGAGATGAGTTGGTGACACGTAGACGTATGATACGTATGGAATGAGGGGGATGTGGGAATGCGAGGGGATATGAGTGCAGTGAGGGGGATCCGATACTTGGGCCAGGTGAGAGTCAACAGGACGACGAACAGACGATAGCCAGATCAACAAGCCAATCGAGAAGCAAGGAAGGAGGGACATGGCACACGAAGTACGAACTCAATCGTCTAAACATCCAAGGACGAGACACTAGAGGACATGAAGCGGAAGATACGAAACTGTAGCTCTAGCAATACACACAGAGTCAATAAATCACAATATAGATCAGACAAATCCGAGGGGCAGACGGCGCGCAGAGCTACGAATCGGCTAGGACCAAGCTTAACCGACTGAAGTTCGCCCGTCCAAGATCGCTCCGCGCATCCTCGGGCAGCCGCAACATCCTCCCGCTCGCATCATCCGCGTCACCACCGCGCGCCTCGAGCCCTGCCGCGGTAGCAGGTCTCCGCCGAGGCGGTGGCGCAAGCGCCGTGACCGGACCCGAATCGCTACCGCTGCCACTCGTTGACGTGCGAGGTGGCGGGCGTCGCGCCGAACGAGGCGGGCGTGCGGGTGCACCCGTAGGTGAAGACGGGACGCTCTCGCTCAGGTTCTCCAAGCCTAGGGGATCCAGATCCTGCGCCTGCTCCAGCCGCTCTTGTTCCAAGCGCTCACGCTCAGCGTCGGCAGCGGCCTCTTCGGCAAGCGCAACGCGTGGGTCGGTGATGCGTTCGGCGACACCGGGCGATCCGGGCCGGGACGTATTGGTGCTATCTGAGCGTAGGTCGGCTACGCGCGGCGGTGAGGGATGTAGCGGCAGAGCCTGCGAGTCTGCGCGTTGGCGCATGAGGTTCGGTGCCATGACGGGATCGCCGTCAAGCGCGCGCAGAAGACTGGGGGCGAGAAGGATAGGACCACCGTTGGAATCAGAGTCGCGTACGAAGTTGGGCTCGAGGACTCCACTGTGTGGCTCTCGACTGGGCACCGGCGTGGCATCCGCCGACAGGTCAGCCTCGCGTTTCAAGCTCGGCGCAAGTAGGGGTGGTTCGTCCGGACTAGATTCTGGTGGTGCAGGAGTGGTGGACCTCGAGGGAACGGCGCTGCTGTTACCACCGCCACCCAGCATGCGCAACCTCTGCTTGATAGAACTGGCAATGGTCGGGCTCTCCGGCGGAGGTGGCGCCGGCTCCAGGGTCGTCATCCCAAGCCCCCGTTTAGCGTCCAGTGAACTTCTCCTCGTATACGCATCGCCGGACGTATTCCGTCTATGCTCGGACATCGTCAATGACCCTCTCTTCGGTTCGAATCCCCACGAGCCGCGTTTGGACTCAGGTGGCAGCGATACTCGCTTTGAGTCAGACGGTGGGGGTGGTAATGGGCCGCTGGGAGGAGGTCGCGCACAGGGCACATCCGCGCCGGAGCTCGTTCTCCTATGAGGCTTCTCTTGTGTTGATGCGGCTGTTGGTGGAGTCTTTCCATGCAACGATAATCGAAGCTTAGAGCCCGCTTTCACCTGCGCGACGGCGGCAGACGCACTCGGCGCGCCAATCAATGAGAACGATCCAGCAGCGGACACAGCGCCTGGCGCAGTACCGGGCCGTTGCGCGGACATGCTGCGTGGCCGCATCTCCGGCCGTGGTGGATCTGAGGGTGTCGGGGGCAGCGCAGTATTAGGTGCGGGGCGCTGAGGTGGAGGCATACTCTGGCGATTGCGCGTGGTGCCCGTCGGTGAGAGCAGGCTGCCTGACCCCGACCCAGGATATGGGTATGAATACGTGCTCGCGCCAGAGCCAGATGCCGTCGGCTGGTATGACTGTGAATGGTAGGAGTGGGAGAGGGAGGAAGACTCGTTGGACAGTGATGCGCTGGCGGCGCTCGAGACTGAGGCGCGCTTCAGCGCGAGGATGCCTGGAAGAGTGCGGTGGCTCGTGGTGCTGGTGCTTGCACGGCTCGGCGAGCGTACCTGGGTCTGTGGTGGGGACGAGGTTGAAGTATCGACCGCCGCATACGGGTGTCTTTGCGGAGGCGAAGCTGACTTGGCACTGAGAGTGGCCAGGGCGGATTGACGCGACCAACGCCGACGGTCAGATGCACCGCCCAGTGTGCTGACAGAAGATACAGAGTTAGCTCGCTGCTTCCCTGGTTCTGTCGGTGATTGCGGGGATGGAAGCGGTGTGGGAGGAGTATGGAGGACAGGCGTGAGGCTGGGCGAATCTTCGACGGGTGTGAGTGCACGAGCATCGCCAAAAGAGGTGTTGCCGAAGGTGTATATGCGACCATCGCGCTCAAGAGGCTCGGGGGCACTTGAAGTGTGAGTTCGCCTTCGGTTTGGGGGAGGACCTAGAGGTGGGGGCGACATGGCACGAGTCGACAGAGCATCGTTGTATTCGAGGTCGACGCTAGTACGATTGACGACAATACGTCGAGAGTATGGCGCTTCCTGAGCCATGATGCTATTCGCCACTGAGGCGAAACTGTCTGCCGTCGGGCTTACAGGGCCCGGATCGTCATCCGAAGCAATTGAGGTTGCGCGAGAGAGAGAACGCGGTCGTGAATTCCCAAATAGTCCTTTGAAGGATATTGTAGGCCTCGGGCTATTCGGGCGCGTGGAGGACGTCGACGAAGTCTGGGATTGAGATGATTCAGACGGCGCAGGGCGCGCACCCATACCCTGCATGCGCATTGAAAGCACAACGTCAAGGTCGCCGCGAGGTTCGCTGGGTGATGCGCCGTAGCCATTGCCGAGTCCCGCGCGTACTGAGCTATTGTCAAGTTAGTTATATGTTGGAAATGAATGCGCGCCACACATACCGCTGTCCGAGTACGGCAGCCTTGATGGCGCCGATCCATGCTCGGGATTCTTGCGCGTCCGTAATCTGGAGCCACATCATCGTCATCCCGGTCTCTTCGCCGTTCAACTCGCGTCGGCGTGCGCCGACATCATGTCCGCCAACCTTCACGACATGTGATCGGCCACCGACATCCTCGTCGGCGACGAACACGACCGAGCGCTCGTCGATTGCCAGGCGCTCGAGTTCCCGCTCGCTCCCGCTGCCGACGCGAAACACGTGCAAGTGGGAAGGCATGCCTCCGCCTGTGCGAGAAGTCGTGGGCGGGCCGGTCAATACGATGGCGCGGGTCTTCCATTGCTGTGCCAACGCGCGCTTAAGCAATGACGGTGGCGGATAATGCTTCGGCAATGCCGTTTGCAGCACGACCAGCGGCGCTAAGCTCGCCTTGGACGCCGGGAACGTGGGCAGCGTTGGCGTGACGGGCGCTTCTACTATTCGCTCCTCCGTCGTTTGCTCGTCGTCACCGTCCTCCGCGTCGCGCTCCTTCTCGTTGGACATCCTCCCCGGGCCGGGCAGGCCGAGCTCGAGCCCCAGGCTCTGCGCTGCAGCGTCCCTCAGCCTATTCCGCTCCTCTGCCTCTTCGGCGTCCGCCGCGCTCACTGCGGGCTCCTTCGTTGGCGACGGCGGTCGCGCATTCGACCGTGCTTTGCGTCGGCTGAGACGGCTCGCGAGTGCGCCGGACGCCGCGCCGAGCAGGCTGGAACGATGTCGTCGTGGGAGATTGGCGGCAGCGTGCTCGTTGCCCGATGCGGGGCCGACGAGTGACCAGTCGAGGTCGAGGACGGCGGAGGAGGTGTTGGTTGTTGTGCTCGTCGTGCGCACGCGCGGGTGTTCGCGTGCCTCGCGCATTATAGAGCCCAGTGTCGGCGTAGGCGTGGGCGCGCGCGGGTCGTGAGCGGTCTGGCTTTTGTATCAGTATCATGCATCTTTGCGTCGTGGCCGCGCTCGTGGGTGGGCCATCAGAGAACCCGGCCGCAAGCGGACAGGCGCCGAAGTAGCAGTGACTAGATACGTACTCTAAACTCGCTGTCTGGGTGCTGTATAAACGCCGGCGACGGTGCGCGGGACGCGCTGGCGGCAGTGGTAACCCAGTTGAGGCCAGGGAACATCGTCGCTTATTTTGACTGCTTCTCAACTGGGGGCGCGGTCGTTGCTCATCGAGGAAGAAGTGCACAACGCGGTTCGCGACGAGTCCGGAATTGGTACAAACTCAATTCTTTTCATTTACCAGGCACATCCCTGGTCGCGGACTCCGAAAGAGCTGCCCAGAGCACCGCCGGGCCGTAAGCTCATAATTTCCGCAGCTTACCACACCGGCGTTCTTGTGTGATCGCGTCGTCCGACCCGGCCTCCTAAGCCTCCTTCTGCCCGACATCCGCGTCCGCCGTGCTCGCTGGCGAACTCGTCGGTCAGCGAGCTGTCACTTGCGTTCATATTCCGAGTCTGGTGCTCCCCCCAGATCTGCACACGGCGGACAGCCACGGCATAAGTCATCAAAGCGCGGAGGTTCCTCTTTTGTATCATCCCGCCTGTCTCGCCGCCACAACGCCCAAATGTAGTCCGGTGCCTGGCCAACCCTCCGGATCCACGCCCCTGGCCACCTCCGAGTCGCGACCTGTCGCGACCTGGCAACGCGCCTGTCTCACTTTGCCCTGGGCCTGTCCGCGGCGCGGGGAAACCTCCTGAGTAGCGTTCGTTATTATTCAACCATTTCCGCCTGTGGTATGGTAGCACATTCTGACTTCAGCGGGTAAGCTGTGCTCATACGTTCTAGTTGACTGCTTCTTGCCCGGCGGCGCATCTTTGGTCAGATGTAGACATGGCTGATGCAGGTGCTAGGAAGTCTGACGGAACAACGCACGCTTATCCGGTTTCTGTCTTCTGAGCTGCGTGTATGCGCTTTAAGCTCATCCATGCTACCACGGCGTACTCAACGCATCACACGCAGAGCCTCACGCGATCATACGAAAGCGAGTGACGGTCAACCTTGCCTGCGCTGTATGGGCGAGCGAATACCCTCCTGCTACGGGCAGATTCAGATCCAGATTGTACTGAGTAAGGCGGGATGAACTTGGAGCGCTCTTGCCACCCTCTTCCACTCGAATCATGCATCGCCATATGAGCATCCCACGCGTCGCATCTTCGTCTCTCGCACCTCCGACTATACCAACAAATGATCATCTGCTCTCGTCTCCGAAGCGGCATACAGAATCCACTGTACGCTCCGCTCTCTCCGTCAACAAGCCCTTAAAGGGAAGGTGTCCTCGACCTACGTCAGCACGGTGCATCAGGGCAGATGTCTTAGCATGAACGGGCCCCTCATACTTGTGACCATCTGTATATTGCGTCCGCATCCGCCTCTCTCGCACCTTGCATCACCGCCCTCAGTCGTGATGATCGTGAAACATAGAGTGATGAAAGCAGAGTTCGTGAACCCATTTGCTGAGCTGTACTCTGTGGTATGATTAGTGATATAGTGGATACCTATCCGCAGGAATTTCAAACGATGTAGATTACCCCAGATCCCAGATTTCTTCCTGCCAGCCGGCTCAGGCGGTCGTGGGAGGGTGATGCTGAGCTCTGGTTGGATGAAGACGCCTGCGATCACTGTTCCCGTCAGTG